TGTTGGTTATTGCGCTTTGGGCCCTGAGTAGAAGGGCCTGGGTCTGGGTCATTGTGTTATGTTCTTGAAAGACGGAAGACGAAATTTCAGCGAGGGGAGCGTGGGTTAATCTTTGAATGACAAATATCTCATCTAAATGGAGTGAACTTACTCTTTGTAGCTTAATGCTGCTTGAAGTTATTCTTAAGCTTTGAACTTGAAAAGTACATATTAGCTCGGAAGCAGCGATGTTCTAATGAACGTGATTGTCCGAATAGATAGCATGTAGCTTAAAATAAGCGCAAATCATTGTGTCGAATTCTTCGAATTCTTGGTCATCAAGTCGAACACAAGTCAGGCCTTTGTATGAAATGTTCTCGTGGGAAAAGGTGGGATTCAGGCAAAGGAAAAAAACAGGACAAAGAACTCTCGTCAACCGCCGATTTTTTCTCTCCCATTTTTTTGCTCCCTCCCTTTAAAGATTAATAGTTAGGAACAATCTTATGTTGTTAATATTGATTTACTCAATTTCTCTTACTCAATTTCTCTTCCTCTATTTTTTTTTTGTATGTCTTTTCTTTTCTAGGTTTGGTTCATAGATTACTTTGTCAGTGATCTTTACGACGCATGGGATGGTATGTTTTTTATTCGTTGATTTGTCTGTTAATTTGTCTGCTTTCTTTGATAAATGCAACTTGATCGGTGGTTTAATCAGAAACACGTCGAAATAGTGTTTTTTATGACTGTATTTTTACAGCTTTCGCATTTGTACCCGAGACCATCAGACACCTTACAGATAATCACGAATACTGGAAAAAAGCAGCAGAGGAGTGGGTAAGCGACAATGTTTGTAAGTACCAGTGCACCTTCATTTCTCAGTCGCTTAAAATTCCCCCTCCCTCCTCTCCCTCCTCTCTCGACCAATTACATGTACAAATTTAGTACAATTTTGAAGATCTGTTGGATGGATCATTGAAAAATCTTCACCAAAGAAATCAAATCAGCCAGCAGAACGAAGAAGAACATCGCAAATTATTATTACAAACCCAGATCCTAAATGGATTTCGGGAAAACGAGAGACAGGGAGCTGCTTTTGGATTTCTTTTTGCTGTGATTACTCGAGAGGGTGGCGCAAGTTTAGTTTGTGGACCAATTAAAAAGCGTACCAAAGCTTAACCAATGCAATCCCGGATTTCTTTCGACCCTTAATATCCTTCTATAGTTTTATTTCTCTATTTATTAACAATTAGTCGAGTGATGTTAGACTTGTGGTAGGTGGCTAAGTCTTCACTCTTTAGCCCCCAAAAGAGCATAGCGTCTAATTTCTCCTTACAATACACCCCTGAATCAAGTATTAAGGTCACGGGAATAAAGGAAATGATCATCAACTAAAAAACTCTGGATTGTTAAACAAATTCTCCTTGTCAGCACCATAGGAATGTATATAGAACAGTATGGAGAATGTGCATACTGATATTAGGGTGTAAAGGGCTGAAGAACGATACACTGTGGATCGATAGGTCTGGGTTTGAGCCCCGGTCGGGTCATCGTGTTACGTTCACTCCCATAATTCCCATCTCTAACTAGGAGTGATAGTGGTAAAGGCAAACTGCCAGGAAAACTGTAGAGGGAGGGGGAAGGGGAAAACTGCTATGGACCTTCGTCATGGGAATAAGGACTTGCAGTCCCCCACTTTCTTCCTGCTAAGGATCCTGGGCTACTTTTCAGTAGGTTTCGGGCCTCTCTGAGCTAATAAAGACTTCCCCTCGTCAACTCAAGTTTAGTTGATTCAGTTTGTCATCTTCTCTTTTTCTTTTTTATCTCTTCTTCTTCTTCAGCCAGTGGGATAACCATGGCGTTAAGTGCTAGTAAACCTGTCACGTAAACGCTTTGTCGTGGTTTGGGTCCCGCCTGATCTCTTCTCGTCCTTAATAATTCTTCAGGCGTAGACACTTCACAGTAGAATCATTTAAACGGCAGTCGAGTGGGTCCAAAGGCGTTTGGACCTCTCTGGGCCTGCGCGGGATTACATTCCATTAATCTGATAATAGTCCCTTTGTTGATTCCCAGGATGCCAATCGCACAACTGCAGCTACTTCCGGTAACTCAACTTCCGGTACCGCCACGAAAAACCCTACGTCCACGTCCTCGTCCGAACCTCCTTCTTCGTCCAGCACGTCTCTAACTTCATCATAGTATGCTGTCACGGTAGTTGTCATTAGCCTCCTGTGTTACGTCTTGTTTTTGTAGTGTGTCATTGTCCATATTATACACTTGTTTCATACAGTCAAACGCGTTTCGGCGGCACTTAATGCAGAATTGTATCCCTGCAGCATAGGATGACTTGACGTCACTGTGTCTTGGTGTTTCCTCACTCGTTGCCGTTTCTGACTTGTGCGTGACTTTTTTTGAGTCACGCTTCGCAGTTCGTTCACGCAAACAAGTCTGTCGCAAAGGTTTTCAGGTGTTGTGGAATTTTGTATCTCGCTGCGGATTTGCGCATTTCCTCGTCGTTTTCGTCTGAAATTTTTGTTTAAGAACAATTTATACGGAGAGGGTAGGATGTTAAGTAGATTCCTTTTAGCAGTCCAATAATGTTTCCTCTGCATTCAAGTGCTGACTGTGAAAGCTCTTCTGTCTTAAAGCTAGTTTAAGTAAGCCACAATCTTGGCGTCTTACAAAACTATTTAATTACGAAAGAGAGACAGAGTACGTTCTACATATATAAGTTAAAAAAAAAAAAACAAAGAAGAAAACAAATTGTATATAGTGTTTTCCCATCAAGGGAAATCTCTAGAAAATTATAAAGTATTATATTTATTTCCGTTGACCTACTTACGCACAAGCCCCCCTAATTAAAATTATATATTAACTTTTGGTAGATGTCATTTGCGTCTCAAAGCCTGAATTTCCAGCACAGGCTTTTGAAGAAATATTGAGATTAGAGTTAATTAAATGATTACTCGCCAGCCCCTAGTACTGTACATTTCTCATGAGCCACGAAGAGCAGGCTTTAACTGGTCCTCTTCTTTCCAAGAACCTTGATGTTATGGAGCTTGTAATTTTTTACTCAATTTGGTTTTCTCTCCATTTTGTTGGCGGGGAATTGACGTGCCACTTGAGCTTTAAGTAAACGCTTTGAAATCTTGATCTTCCAAAGATCGTACAAAGTGATACGCATTCGAACGATATCAAATTATGTTCAAAATGTCTTTTGTATACGTAAGCTTCATTACACACATTTCTTGAAAAGAAGGGAGCAAGCAAAGAGATTTGTTCCCACAGGCTGACCACTTCCACTCTTAATCAGGTCATCATATGAACAGCTGGCGAGTGAGGCTGGAATCTAGCAGTCGAGGAATTAAGGACTGATTACCTGAGACTGCGTTTTTTCAAAAATTGTATGCCTAGCAATTTGATGTAATATGATGGTAAAAGCCCATGTGACTTTGAATACGTTTCTGTTTGGAAAAAAGATACCAGATATTCTTGACGTGCAATTTAACTTTTTGTAAAATTTTGAGAGAAAGCATGGAGTTTCTTATCTTCTTGGGAACCTATTGTGTTACCATAGCTTTTCAATCATCTAATGTCACAGATTTGTCTCTTATCTTGGTTTCCTTCCCTTACATCTTACGTCACGTGCCCAGCGCGTAGAGCATTACCCAAAGAACTGCTAGAATCAGTCTTTCATTCCCCGACTCAGTAGATAGATGAATTCTTTTGGAACGTAATGTTAAATTAAATGAATCTCTATCCTTTTACTTCAGCTTGGTGATGGTCAAAACGGAGCATTTAGTTCGCTTTCCGAGCTTGAAAACACGGCAAGTGTATTCAAGCTTAAAATGAGAAAAATTCCTTCACAAATATGGTCGTTTTTATGGCAAAGGGTATTAACACCATGTCATTTTTGTCTTGTCCATTTTGTCTTTGCTGTATTGTGTTTATACTTTAAAAACAAATTTATTCCTAATTTATTCCTGCTGCCAATGTGTTTTATAGTCGGGCTTTTGGTGAAACGCTTTCTTCTGGTGTAAAACGTCTTATTAGGTACCAATTGACTTCCGTTAGTGTAATAACACTGTTTCGCTTATACGTGATTTTAGGTTTCAATCTGGAAAAAAAAAAGAATAGTGACGTAAAATGAAAGCCGCTTCCGTAGGAGATCGATTTTATGGCTAAAGTGAGTTATGAAAGCTGATGGTCTACTTCGCAATATCAATGTGAAGATCATCTGACTTTTGAAATTTTTGACTTTTTGCAATTTTGAAAGAGTTAGTTGCTGTGTGAAGATGTTTGCTTGTGACCATTTTTTTTTTGTGGACAAAGCACGCCCTTAGGATGCATGTGTGCAATGGACTTGTCACACTTTCTTTCGTCGAGAAGGAATGCGTGACGAGAGGGAAATGGAGCAGTTTCTGTCACGCAACATACACAAGATAGCTTGAGTTTCGCGTGAACATCTCACAACAATGAAATAGTATTATTTTGTGTGATCCTTGAACGTTTTCACCAAGAGCCTTGTAGAATAAAGTTAGCTGAGCAAGATCATTTTAATTTCCAAAGCTCCTGTACACACTTATTGAATTCTAGCTGGCTCAGTTGTACAGTTTTGATCAAATCATTTTAATGGGTCAACGTTGCGTTGTCCGGTGTCATTGTGTATAAAAAGTATAATTTTCATAATACAATGATGATAATGATAATATAAGTTGATTGCCTGAAGAGATTCAGGATATTGAAGTTATTATATCATGTACAAATTGTTTGATAAATCTTGAGTAGCTCTTTGGATTTCTCTGTAGATGTTCTGTGTGAACGTAAATTATGTTGTTCTTTCCTAGATTGTGTTCTGTACAGTTGCGTTAGTTCTGAATCTCTAAAAAGTGGACATTCTTATAGAATAGATATGAATAAAATAAGTTATTGGATCGTCTAACTTGTGAAAGATTTGGTGTGAGGTATTTGTTTTTAGGTCCCGTTTACATTTGTTTGTTTGTTTTTTATTGCCAAGCTTTTCGACAGGAGCGAGGCTGAAAGTGACCTTACCAAAAGACACTTATTAGCCCAACTGCTAGTCTTGCGATTCTTTATTAAACTCCCATGAGTGTTCAAGACAGGAACTCTCCTTACAGTATCAAAACATAAAACAAGCAAGTGACGGGAAAGTATCAATTGCGAGATTAATAGTTGATCCAAAACCAAATTCTCCGAACTAACATTCTAAGAATTGTACGACAAACAGTAAGGAGAAATTCATCTTTGGAGTGAAATCCTCGCCTTAAAACCTGGCAACGAAGCACAACGGTCCGATTTTGATGAAATAATAAGAATTCTCAGGACTACCCAATCCTCCAATTCTCAGTCGATGTCTTGGGCACCTCGTTCTCAACAAATCTTTCGAAGCTAACTTCTGCCTCACATCGACTGTCATGGGATAAATGTTCCCCTTCCTGTAAATAATACTGGCAATAGACTGGGCACTGATATTGGTCCTAGATTTGATGGTACTCAAGTTGTTTTCAATTGTTGATCTGATGCACGCTTGAATTTGATCAGGGCTGAGAAAACTCGTGTTAGGCTTTTCACCTACAGAATTTTAATCAATTTTTACTACATTGTATTTACAAATTTTATCGCGGTCCAAATTACACAGAGAGAAACATCGAAATGGAGAGTTACCGGCCAAGTCACAGTAGTACAAATTGCAAAATGAGTCTCATGAGCATTATAGCTTGGACTTCAGAGTTGCGTTTAACCATGAATGAGTGAATTCAGGCATTAAGTAAAGGAAATCTAAAGGAAACAGTGTGCATTACATAAATCTCGTATATTTTCTCTCAGTTAGTACGTGCGCTACGTTTCGTCAATTTGGCGGGTACACTGTACGGACCACTAAATTTAAAAATTTGTTCGAAATGAAATATTTCCCTATATAAACCCGCGGATATAACATACCTTACTAACCTCGTTTTCACGGTCCGCACTGAAGCTCGTGAAACGGGAGCTCGTTTTTTCCACTCGGATTTAAAGCCTGCCGTTACATACCCTTAACAGTCTTAATAATTTGTTTAGTTAACCTTCAGAATTTGAATTCAAAATAGGTTTCAGTCATAGTTCTTGAGGATCTCTTGTTGTCGAGGAAACTTTACATCCGTGTATTGTTAACATTGTTGGTATATGTATAGAAATAAATGTTACTTTTGGAGATTCAGATCTAGCCAAACCTGGAATATTCTCCTATTCAACATATAAAGGAAGGATTTCCTATCTGTTTTTTTGGTTTACTTTTTTTCGGTTGCCTTCAAAACTGCAATGTTACCGATTAGACCACTCTTTTCAATTAAAACCGGTTTCAAGCTTTAGATATCTTTCGTGAAAAGCAAACAGCCGTTCAGGTGATAAGCTATCCCCTACTGCAAAAGTTGCATTCAATGCTGCATCATCCCAAGTTCTCTCCAATCGAGGAAGCCATAGTCTGATCAAAGTTCCTTCTCCATCAAGCTGGGTAGGGACAATACCTAGATGTTTAGCCAATACTCCTAAATACGCGTCTTCCATTTTAAATGAGCGAATATTTTTAGACGCGTTGAGAAACTCGAGAACAACTTTTTTAGACATGATGTAAAATGGACCATTCGGATAAACAGGATATGAAGTGCCATTGAAATCCTCATAACTGATAAAGTACTTGTGGCCCGGGTCTCGAATGGCAGGTGAATTATAAAGCAGAGTTCCTCCGAACAACATGTCAGGTAAAGAAGTAGTTTGCAATCGCCAAACCATCCTTCGGACATCTAGGTACACATCGTCGTCTACTTTGACCACAAACTTGACGTTTACTGCTGAGGCAAATCTCAGCGAATTCAGAGTCTTTTGTACCAGCAACGAATATGATTCTGTGAAGTTTAATCTTAAAATATCTCCATGAATCATGCTTTCACTTTTCACCACAGTTTCAACCTCTTGTTCATGGCTGTGGCCGCAGACGAAGAAATACTGGATAAGAAGGTTATTGGTAGAGTTAAAAGGGTCCTTCAAGATTCGTACGTTTGAATGATCTTGTGCAACAGAATAGTTGATGAAGACGGACAGCCA